GGGCAGGAGGGAAACATTGTTTTTTTTGTTTTTCTTCTGTAAGAGTTTGACAGCACTTGCAACACAATAAGGCCATAGAAGTGCTGAAGATTAGAGAAACATTACTTCTGTCACAATTACACAGGGAGGAACCTGCCTGTCACCTGAAAACTTTACCTCTCTGTTCCAGTAGGGAACGGGATAGAGGGAGCCCAACCACGTCCCTCGTGACTCATTGGAGCAGAGGAAGATAGGACTAATGCTAACATTACTTAAACGCAATCCCACATCATCACTCATCACCACCATTATATCTAAAATCATCACTGCTCTCAGATCAATGACTTACATCTATAATCCTGGAATTTTTTTTTTTAAAGAAAAAGAAAACTTTACCTCTTTGCATGTACGATGGCCAAAAGAAGTTGATCTCGGGCAATGTGGCATACACACTCTCCTTTGTGTGTAGCATAAGCTGTGGGATGATCTCTTTGGCCAGGCACTGGCGAATGTACTGGGGAACGACAGCCAAAATAAAATGGTGAAAAATCTGAATCTGGTCTCAATAATTATAATAATAATAATAATATATTGTCAATCACAAACTAATAAATTATTGTACTCAAAACTTTTCACATAAAATTTCTCGAAACTAGTGGGTACTTAAAATTTTTTACGTCAAATTACTCAAAACTAGAAAGTGAGCAGATATAAACCTTTGTAATTCGAGGGAAACGGTAACGTCAAATTACTCAAAAATAGGAAGTGACCAGATAGAGAACTTTGTAGTAATTCTAGGGGCAGCGACGTGTACATGGGTCTCAACTCAGAATTTTAAAAAAAGGAGGAACTTTCCGCGTGATCGCGACAGAAGACCATTTTCGCGAGGCACCCATTATATACTGTTTAACCCTAGAATGCTGAATATAAAAACACCAAATTATCAAAGCAAGGTTATTTCAGAGCAATTTGTTGGTTTGGAAGATAATATCAAGTAAAACAGTCACTTACCAAATATTATTTACAATCTTGATTATGTACAGAAAGAAAGTGGTGGCACATTACTGGGAGGTGCCTCCCCTCCCAGCAGCGGGGTTAAGCGGAGGAAATGGAGGAAGCGGAAATCCGCTAAATAACAGAATATTGAGACCCATGTGAGCACCAATGTATGTCTCACTCCTCTCACCTTGTACTGGCTGACAGGGCACTCGGCCAACAGGAACTGGTCGCAGCCGCACACTTTGAGCACGTACATGTGGCGGTACTCCTCGATGCAGCGCTCCGCGTGCTCGCGGCTCATGTTCATGAAGCGACTGCGCCGCCGGATGGTCTCAGCGATCACGTCACTCGGGTAGGCCGTCGGGGCGACCTTGACCGTGTACTTGACTCGGTTGTTGTCGTCGGACACCACCCACACGCAGATGATGACTGAGTGCTCTGAGGACGATATTGTAATACACTTGAGTTGTAACCACACGCGATGAAATCAGGCGCCCGTCAAAGTTGGGGCATGAGGAATTATTGGTATGATCTAACTTAAAGAAGAGTCACATGCCTTGATTTTGATGGAAAAAATACCCATTTATCTTGAATAAAAGTCGAGAATTTTTACGACTGAAGAGTAGTGAGGAGGGTTGCGGGTCCCTGGGGTTTCAGAGGAAAAGTTAGCGAGAAAATGGCCGTCAAAGTTTGGCGATATCCATAGCTTGAAAGTCCTTAGAAACTAAAAATTCACATTATTGTTGCCTTCAATCAGCATTTTTCAGTAAAATCCACACAGATATATGTTTTCAAATGAAGGTAAAAGATGCTGAGTCAAAAAAAAAATTCAATAAAAATTACCAACCCCGTGAAAAAAAAAAAAACAAGTTTCTTCAATTTCCTTATTTTGAAGAGGGCCTGATGTCACCATGATGCCTCACAATTTCTGTTTACCTTGACGCAAATGCAAATGAGGACACAATTATCCTCACTTCACCCAGGTGGGAACGAGTACCCGGCTATATATATAGTGAAAGATCTTGTTTGTTCGTTATGGTATCAGCATGTGTAAACCTCAGCATGCACTACATGATTTCTGGAAAGCTAAGAATGTTTCTGCGTCATTTCCTGGAGTCTGCTGGGTTAATAATAATAATAATAATAATAATAATAGTAATAATAATAATAATAATAATAATAGTAATAGTAATAATAATAATAATTATTATTATTATTATTATTATTATAGTAATAATAATAATAATAATAATAATAATAATAGTAATAATAATAATAATAATAATAATAGTAATAATAATAATAATAAGGATAATAATAATAATAATAATAATAATAATAATAGTAATAATAATAATAATAATAATAATAATAATAATAATAGTAATAATAATAATAATAATAGTAATAATAATAATAATAATAATAATAATAATATTCATAATAATAATAATAATAATAATAATAGTAATAATAATAATAATGATAATGATAATGATAATAATAATAATAATAATAATAATAATAATAATAATAGTAATATTAATAATAATAATAATAATAATAATAATAATAATAATAATAGTAATAATAATAATAATAATAATAATAGTAATAATAATAGTAATAATAATAACTGGTGTAATAAAGGAGAAACCTACCTTCAGTGAAAGTGCAAACGGAGAAACCTACCACGGAGAAACCTACCACGGAGAAACCTACCATAACGCGACCTCAGTGCTTTCTTGTCGCATCTCCATTTTTTAAACAGTGAAAATGTGACTTCTTCTTAAGCTCACTCTTTGTTTTGAACTGTTTTCACTGTTATTAAAAATGGAGATACAACAAGAAAGCACTGAGGTTGCGATAAGTGAAAGTGCTGAAGGAGAAACCTACCATTACCCCCCGGGGCGGTGCTACGGACTGAAGTGTCTTTAGGTCATTCCCAAAGGGGGGACATAAACATCTCGAGATCTTCTGCACAGTAGAATTGTAATTGCAAATGGGCTGATTCATCAATGTCATGCTCATAACTGCCTGAAGTGCAACAGGGAACTACTGCTTTTTCTTTCTTAATCCTTACTATCTTCATTTTCCTCTACTTCTTTTGTATGTTTGTCACACTCTTGAGACCCGCTATATGCATGGTGCCTTGATAGTTGAAGCAGACTGTACTGTTGAACTAGAGAGGTCAGCAGTGAGCAGAGAAAGTCTGATTCCCTGTAACGACTTCTCTGTTGACATCCACCACGTGGCGCTCATATGACCTTATGCAGTTGCGAGCGCCGTAAAAGCCTCTACTAAAACAAAAACCTACCATAGGTGAAAGTGCTGAGCTTCTCCATCAAATGTTGCGGGAGCTCCTCAGACGACTCGATGTCCGGAGGGTAGGCGTACAGGGCCCTGGTGTGGTCACCTCCGACATCTCTTTGGTCGACGACATCTTTGCAAGACTGTGCAGGCAGAAAGCATCAAAACAACAACACAGAGTTAGTTTTAGTAAGTATTTTACGGCACTTGCGTTTTTTCATTTATAATTTATCTCATTACTACATTACTTTACTGAGAAATCCAAAGAATGACATAAAATGAAAAAAGATTTATAACTTATTATAAGGAAAAGATAGTAAACATGCCACAAATGAAAAAATTTGTACAATATTTATAATTGAAAAGCTACATTTTAGACAAAATGTTCTTGTAATTCTCACTGCCCCCAATTCAGTCACAAGGCAGACCTGGAGGAAAGTAAAATTGAGGTGAAAAATCTTTTAAAATAATAATAATAACAATAATATTATTATAATAATTATTATTATTATTATTATTATTATTATAATTGAATAATAATAATAATTCGCTTTATGAATAGCAATCCCTTCCCTTTACTAATAATTTTTTTAAAGGATCTGAAAGAGAGGGAACAATAATGCCCTGAAGTGTTTCTACCTCAGCAAAGTTAAACTACAAATAAGATTAAATCATCATAAATCTAGTAAAAAATTGTTCCCGCATCCGGTCCGGACATTGGGTAGTGCCTTGTTAGTGAGACAACTTCCAGGGCCTTCGACATATTGTGGTAGGGTGATTTATATATATATGGGTCATCATATAACGATAAATCTGGAACCAATTGCAAAATAACGAGAGAAAGGCACACGTTCAGTTGCTGGCCTGGCCCATCATCTGCCCTTACCTTAAGGATATTACGTCGGAAAGTGATCACTTCCAAGTCTTTGTTTTCATTGAATTCATTGACAGGGACACCAATGAGCATGCCTGTGCAGAAAAAACATAGAGCAAACAATTTAATCGAAACACCATCAAAAATAAAGAAAAAAATTATTATTTCGTAAAAACGTATTTTGGCATTTTGGTGGATTAGAAACTAAGAATCTATTTTTTTTTTTAAAGGAAAAAACATTTTTTACCAATCATCAGTGAGCCTGACATATTTGCATGCTGTGGTAAACATGGATCACTCGCATGTTAAAATTTGTTTACCTTTCCTTGTTAAAATATATTCAGACTAGAACTTAATGTGTACGTTTTCAAATCTTGAGCATTCATTGCTCAAAAAGAGTAAATTAAAAAATTGAAAATTCTTTCAGCACTGTTCAGGATGAAATAAAAGACAGCATATGGTCACTTTTAACGACAAGCGGGCTAACCCAGATTCCGGGGGTTTCCAGAAATCTTGACCTACACCAAAAGTGGGCATTTCCCTACCTATAGAAGAAGTCTGGTTTCCATGGTGAGTATATTTGTTTGTTTATAGAGAAAACTCTCCAGGTCTTATAAAGAGACTGAATAAGGATCCAAAAACTTTAACTTCGATTTTCTCAAACCAGCATTTATCGGGATAGCCTCCTTGTGTTTAAAAGCGACCATATCATAGTAAAGTGATGAGAGAGGGGAACCAAGAGTACATGGATAACCTGGATGGAAAAAAAACAAATTCTTTTTGTCTGCTGGGATGTTGCATGAATTCCTCTCAGCCTGGATTGGCCCTGACCGGCAAAGTCGTAAGCCTGCCTCCTAATTTATCTAAACTGTGTCAAAGGGGGCGCAAAAGAAAAAAAAACACCTAGACTACATTTTTTTAAACATTCACAGTTACACGTACCAATCTCGTAGTTGAGCATTTTCTCCTTGCGGTTACCCTTGGGCTCCATGACCTTTAGGATGGGCTGGAAGAGTCGAAGGTCGCACAGCCGTCGAGTCTCATCGTAAAACTCCTCCCGCATCGCGTCTTGCGTGATGGCCAGGAAGATGTACGACTCTGGCTCCATCAACTTCTTGAACAACGGATACTTTTTCGCTTCCTGGGATAATCAAACAAAAAAAAAAAAGGATTTTCCACTGAAATTAAGTTGTCGCCTGGATCTTGCGCAACTGACACAGGGGGACATTGTTTAGGGGAGACTGGGCCGAGTCAAGCTGAGTCAAGTCGAGTGGAGTTAAGTCAAAAAACAACAGGAAGGACTGAGTCGAGTGGAGTCAAGTTAAATCAAGTCAAACGGAGTCGAGAAGATACAAGAGGAAGGACAGAGATGAGCGGAGTCGAGTTACATCAAATCAAATGGATTCGAGAAGATACAAGAAAAAGGACCGAGCTGAGTGGGGTCGAGTTACATTAGATACAAGAGGAAGGACTAAGTCAAGTCTAGTGGAATGGAGTCGAGAAGACACAAGAGGGAGGACCGAGTCAAGTCAAGTCAAGTCAAGTGGAGTCGAGAAGACACAAGACGGAGGACTAAGTCAAGTCAAGTCAAGTCAAGTGGAGTCGAGAAGATACAAGAGGAAGGACCGAGTCAAGTCAAGTCAAATCAAGTCGAGAAGACACAAGAGGGAGGACCGAGTCAAGAGAGAAGTCAAGTCCAACAAAGTGTCAGCAAAGACTAGCACAACACTGCCGTAAGCTGACAAAACACCTTTTTTCATTTTGGTGCCAAAAGTTTTTATTTGCTAAAACTAAAGCCTTATCAGTTACCCAACTTGAAAGAAAAAATCAAATTGAGACTATAACTAGTTTTAAACTTTAATAAGTTAGAATTAAAATTTCCGAATGACTCTATTTTCAAAGGTTACATTGACAAAAAAAACTGTTTCTCGAAACTGCTCCGAGGGAAAAAAAGGCGTTTTGTCAGCAAAGACTAGCACACAACAAGACGCTGTGGACTCACCAGCCATAGGTCTTTCTTGATGGTCTCCAGGGTGGAGTCTCGGCCACACAGGATGGGCACGATCACGCCGGTCGGCAGCAGGCAGTCCACCGTCACCTGCTGGGGCATCAAATGGTGCTCCCATAATTCCCCGGAGCTCGGGGGCATCTTGGCGCTGCTCCTCCGCGAGTCGTCTGTCTAATTACGGGAGGTGCACTTCTGTCATCTGTTGTAAGAGACAGGATGTTTTAGTATATACATATATAAGTTTTCAGTCCCTGACGACATAAACAGGTCATAAAAGCACCGAAGATTAGAAGGAGAGTAATACAAGTGTTTCAAATGGTGCTCCCATAATTCCCTGGAGCTCGGAGGCATCTTGGCGCTCCTCTTCCACGAGTCGTACGTCTACTTACGGGAGGTGCACTTCTGTCATCTGTAGTAAGAGACAGGATGTTTTAGTGTATAAGTTTAGTTTTAGTTTTAGTAGACGTTTTACAGCACTCACAACAGCATAAGGTCATATGAGCGCCAGAAGATTAGAGGTGTTACAAGAGAGTAACAAACATAAAAAAGAAGAAGGCGAGATATGGACGATAGATGTTTGATAGGAAAGAAGAAGCAAACCACACCAGAGCACCCGCCAACCACCCACAGTACATAAGTCTTCAGTCCCTTGCGACACAAATGGGTCAAACACCGAAGATAACAAGGACGGTAATATACTTTGAAAAGAAAGAGAAGAGATCTTATTCAGACGATAGAATTTTGATTAAAAAAGGAGTTGATCACATCAGGATAAAGTGGAAAGAAGGCGGTGGCAAAGACTGGACTACTCTCAGGACATCAGGCAGCTGCAATCAAAGAAAGTGTAGGACTGGAACTCACTGGGTAAAACATCAAGGGGAAGACCACAGGCAGGAACCTGGAGAAAAGTCACAGAAATAGATCTACAGAAAAGTGGGAAACCATGGAATACCATCAAGAGGCCAGGATAGGGAAAAGAGGAAAGTGGTGGTTCGTTTGTGATCCATAATGATGATGATGATGATGATGATGATGATGATGATGATGATGATGATGATCACACTAGAGCATCCTAAAACCATCAGCAAAAGGGGAACAAATTTATATCTCTTCCTCCTTGGACCAAATTCCCTTCAGCTTGCAAACCAACGTCTCCCTCCCTCCCTCCCTCCCTCCCTCTCTCTCTCTCTCTCCAAACTTCGTCCCCAAAGCGAGCGCCGGCACACACCATGACCTCCCACCCTACCCTACCACAGTCCAGCAACATTTACAACAGCATCTCTGTTATTACAGGAACTTGGATATAACAGTGATAAATCAAATCCCGGGGTTGTTGTGGGTTTTTTTCTATATAAGTGTAAGTACTGTAATATGAACCAGTCTATAAAAACAGGGTTCTTTTAGTTTAGTTTTAGTAAGAGTTTTACGGCACTTGCAACACAATCAGGTCATACAAGTGCCAAAAAACAGGGTTCAGTTTGCGCAGACTTGGATATAACAGTGATAAATCAGTTTAGTTTTATAGAGGTTTTACGGCACTCGCAACTGCATTAGGTCATATGAGCGCCAGAAGAATAGAGGTGTTACAAGAGAGTAACAAACATTAAAAGAAGAAGGGGAGATCAGGACGATAGATAAGAAAGAAGAAGCAAACCACACCAGAGCACCCGCCAACCACCCACAGTGATAAATTAAATCCTGGGGTAGTTGTATTTTATATGTAGTGTAAGTAATGTGAACCAGTCTATAACAGGGGTCAATTTGCGCAGACTCGGAAACAGTAATCTTGCAGCACGTGAACTTGCTTTCAAATTATTACAAATTTGTCTCAACTCGCATATAACAGGGGCAAACTACGGTCGGTCTCGTCTGCCCTGTTATAATATGGTCGCTTTTAGGCACAAGGGGGGCTATCCCGAAAAAGTGCTATTTTGAGAAAATCGACGGTAAAGTTTTTGCCCCTTGATCAGATTCTTTAAAAGACAAGGGGAGTTTTCTATATAACCAAACAAATATACACACCAATGAAACCAAACTTCTATAGGTAGGGCAATGCCCACTTTTGGGGTGGATCAAGATTTCTGGAAACCCCCGAAATCTAGGATAGCCCGCTTGTCCTTAAAAGCGACCATATCCGAGTTTGACAGTACGCATCCAGGTACCACAGGTCTCGCCGCCTCGTCGGTAGTCTAGCGCTGCCTG